TGATGGAGATTATAGATAAAGGGCTAACAGAAATGGGCTTTCAAGAGCCAGCTGAGGCCATGAAGTGATTCCCATTAGTTGTTGTGGAGACAGTAGCAAAACTTTTTATGTACTGGTTTGCCTTATGGGCAAGGAAAATCATAGTGATGATTTTGAACTAATAGGTCTATGACATAGTTTTAACTCCTGAAGGTCGTTAGACATGGTGGTGGCTAAAGATGAAGACAGCTTTTGTAGATTTGAGAAAAGTCTGGATAACAAGGTGAATGGTCAAAGGTTATTGTAATTAATTTAATATTACATTATGTCTAAGTTACAGCCTTAGAAGGCTGTTGAAAAAGATTATTTATTTATAGTGAGAGAGACTGCTTGAGCAGAGGAAGGGATGGTAACTGTGTCTGTCTTTCCATTATTGGCCTGCTAGAGCAAGCTGAAGCAAAATAATGATAATGAAACAAAACAACCCAGCTGACCTTGTTAAATTCTAATGAATAATGAACAAGACATGCTTTGAAACTGGTTGGGAGACCATGTAAAATTAGGTAGAAGCTACCGGAAAATGGGAAGTTTAAAATCTTATTTAAAATTTAAATCTTTTAGCAATAATATAAAGAAAAATTAACATTGAAAATGAACAGTTAACATATGTGTGTCTAGTATGAGTGCGTATGATGGTGACAGCACTTTATGTCTTGTATGTATTAGTTTGGGGTACTATTATTTCCTGATTTTGAGGATATTGTGTCATTAACCTCTAGTGTTTTATCATTACAGATGGGTTAAGTGAAATGACCCACTTTAAAAAAAAAGTTGATAATTCTAAGACAATCTGATGAAAAGACAATGCAGAACATGGGACGAGCTTTAATTGGAGTGGTTTTCCAGCTCTGTCTGCTATTGGTAATTATGAATGCTTTTGTCATTTATGATATTGAACTGAATTACTCTCTGGATTAGTATTTTATATAAATTGGAATTGTAAAGAAGATTGCCGTCCATTCTGGGGTAAAACTCTTGTCTAAATTCAACTGAGGGTCTAAATTTAAATAGACAACTAGGTGGGATCATAAGGATAAACGTAGGAAAAAAAAAAAATATATATATAGACTTGACGGCAGAGAGACAAAGTGACACATTGGCTAAGTCACTATCCAAATTATCCAGAGTGAGCTCCCTCATTTTTATTGAAAGGCCGGAGGGCGAACAAAGAAGGAGTGAATATAACTTCTAAAAAGAAAAGGTTTTATTTCTCAATCCCTTAAATGTATGTATGACATTAGATGTCTAAGAAAACTACAATTTAATAAAGGTAAAAAGAGAAAGCAGCTATATGGCTGTGGGCTGGGATCTGAGTAACATAATATTTTGGTTTCTGTAAAACTGTAAAGATAAGCGGAACTGAGACAAATACTGTGAGAAGTAGTTATAATGAAAAATAAAGTTGAAGTTAATGATAAGAAAACAAGAGTATTGAAGAATTAATAAAATACCATGATTCCCCTAACGAGGGAACTTTAAGTGTCACTAGGCTGACAGTGGTGAGAGACTCAGATGCAGAAGGAACTGGCATGTAGGGCATGATGGAAGAAATATAGTAGAAAAAAAAAATGTATGTTATGAAAATACAATTTCTGATAGGATTTATGGAAGTCAAATTAAGTTTAAATGGTATGAAAAAGGTTAGGGTTAGACATTGTATGATTGACAGGGATTCAAGTGATATAAGGATAAGGAATGAACAAAAGCTTTATTAAGCAGAATGGGGAACGATCCTATATTTTAGTGGTAAAATAATGACTGAAATGATGATGTGAATTTGTTTTATTTTATTTCTATTTTTGAAACAAACAAAAAAGGGTATAAGATGTTATACAATTAAAATGGTACATGCTATGTGACTGTAAACTGAAGGATGATTTCAGTAAAGACTTAAAGTGCTTACATCGATTATTATGGGTCTTAATTATTAATATTTTATTGTTTGTTGTTTATTTTTAGTTAGACAACCATTGTGTTTTAAACCTAAAGGGTCTATAAAAGGGGTAGTGAAAATAATGGATTAACCATCCAACTTTGTTTATAATAAATGGATTTGGAAATCATAATTTTATAAATAAATAAAAAACTAGTGCATATATTCTGGTATTCATGATTATAGACAATGTCTTTATTTAGGATCTGAGTAGTGACTGTGGATCTAGCCCATGCTAGTAGGAATACAGCAATAGTGCTTGCTTATTTAGCCTGGCTTCCAAAGAAAAAATATGTACTTGTTTCGTAATCAGTTATGTGTTTTATAAAAATTTTAACCTGACTGATAAACTGAGGAAGAATGACATTGATGTCCTGTTGTGAGTGGAAGGTGGGAGAGCCTCTTAATGGGGACTGGAATTTTTAGTATCCAGCATGTCCATGACGAGGTGAAGAGACAAGTGTGACCCGTCAGGGGAGCATGCGTCACCACTCCTCCCTTCCGTAGTGACCTCACTGGTTAGACCAGACGTGGTGGTATTGGACCCCACATTGGTCTAAAACGGGGGACTGAAGGGTTGGTCAAAATCCCTTGCCTCTTCAAATACATATATAATCATATATCATTTTGAATGGTTATATACTTCCTTTATAAAAATCAATAATCAAATATATTCATTATCACATAATAATTTTTATATTCTTGTGCCTGTGAAATTATATTTTCTTAAATGCATGGATGCAAGTAACCAGTTCCTTTTAGGTGCATTCCAATCTTACTTTGAGATTGCACGTAGTACACGCAGGACACGAAGGCCACGTAACCCACAAGGCCGTTTGTCTCTTTCTCTGGGATCAGTAGAAAGGTTAGAGGGTCCTAAAGGCAGCGTGGGCACATATGATTCTTCGCTGGACATATGGTCAAGCTATATTGAGTGTTACTATCAAACTTTAATTGTTGTATTAAAATGTATTCTTTCCAGTATATTTCCTTCCTTGGGAGTAAATGCCAGTGATCTGTTTTTCTCCCAAACGAGTGAATGTTTTAGCAGTATGTTTTGGTATACTTAACTGATAATGAGGAGCTCAGACTCTCTTCAGCCTTGATGGGAGCTGTTATTTGCTAGTGTCTGTTATTTGTGTGTGTGCGTATGACATTCTATGTAGGTTCTGGATGGTCGGACCAGACACCCCGGCGCCCTTTTCTAACCTGCGAGGCCACCACAGACCTAAATCCAATGAGTGGACGACAACTATCTTTACTAATGGCGATAGGCACCCCTATCTCCTCACATGTGTTAAATTGTTTAGGCTTTAATGTTTCTTAGCCAATGAGAATCATTCAACCTGTAAGCAATGACGTAGCTTAGACCTTGGAAATGGTATAACTGCTGTGATCTTTGTAACTGTAAGGGGGGCGGCCTTCGAACTCCTGTGTGAGTCTTGAAGCTGACTTCTGCTGATGAAAATGCAAACTATCTTCAGTAAAACTTTTCTTTAATTTTTTATAATTCTGACTCCGGGTCTTCATTCTTCATATCTGGTTCTGGGTCTTTGACTGTATACCCCTTACAGTATAAATTCATACGAATGACCTATGCCTGACCCCGCCTCTAAACCTACTGGTCACTGGGGTTTATACACTCGTAAGAATTCGTACGAATTAGCCACCTTGTAAAATACGTACGAATTGGTCGTGGGATAGCTATCGAATGACATGTTGATGGCAGTGATTTTGACAACTGATTGCAGGTGATTTATTTTTATTTTTTTGCGCATAAATACCATGCGCAAAAGTTAAACGCGTCAGTTTATTGAATTCAGCCTTTAATGTTGCAGCTTTTACCACCGATATAAATGATTTCGTAGCATGTAGGCTACACAGAAAACAATAGTGAGCTGTCAAATCTGATGATTGCTCTCAACCGTGAGCTGCTATTAGCGAAAATTAACCATGGTTTCACTACAAATAAAACCAAAAAACCATGGTTATTATAGTTAAACCATGGTAACTACAAATTAACCATGGTTTTGCTAAAAAAAAAAAAAAAAACATGGTTATTATAGTTAAACCATGGTGACTACAAATTAACCATGGGTTTGCTACACTAACCATATAACCATGGTATTTGTTGTAAAACTGTGGTTATACAAATGGTACTCAATCTGCCAAAAAAACTATGGTTACTACACTTTTACTATAATAAAACCATGGTTGATTGGTCCTGTCAATTTTTGATGGCCTGTGGAGGCAAAGAGTGAAAAGAGAAAAAAACAACTAGATCTTTTGTTTTATTTCTGTGCAGAACTTGAGGACGAATAAGGTGAAGGAGAGAATGTTTAACTGCATCTTTGAATGCCCACCATAAGCGAATGATTTGCTTGAAATTTCCCAGCTCTCATCAGAAGATAGTTCACAAACCAAAGATAATAGCTTCAGGTTTTAGAGTCTTCTTTAGATGTGGTACACTTGTACCACTTCATCTTTAGACGTGGTACACTTGTGCCTAAATGTGCACAGACTTCAAAATGATTGTGTATTGAAAAAAGAACTGCTCGCCTCCAGGTGGTGTGATGTAGTATGTATATGAGCATTTGCCTTGAGGTCTTGCCACAGGCACGGACAGATGGACTGAATACCGTTACCCAAAGTCACTTTTTAGAAAAACTGGGTTTAAGGTTCAGCGGTTTGCACTTGCAAAAGTATTTTGGAAAGCTAGCAAGGTCAGTTATAAAATACATTTCCACATGACATTTCTTCATCTAACCAGTAAGTAAATAAAGAAATACAGTTGTTTTCCCCCTCTCGTCCTGTGAAAGTGGTCTGGCTGACTGGTTGTCTGATTTTTTTTTTTACGCTCCTTATTTTGAGACACGTCTACTTTTAGGAATTGTATAGTTCCTTTTCCTTTTCTCTTCAGTGATTCGGCTCTGAATTTTGCAGCGCTCTGACAGTTCTTGGGGCTGAGATGTCACTTCATGTCTTGCTCTTCCTCCCCCTTTACTTCCTTCCAGTAACCTCCCACACTTCAGGCTGTCCGGCATCCTGCGATTCTCCGTTCACCATCCCTCCATCTGTTCACTCCATCCACATCTCGCATCTCCATACTGATGAAAACCACAGCAAACATCCTCAAGAAAACATCAAACAAGAAAATCGATCCAACTGTGGTATGACAAAAGTTTGTGTGTTTGTTTTATAATTTCTAAGGAAAACTGGGAATTGAGACACCTGGGTGCATTTGACTAAAAGTTCAGTTGAGCGAAATGGCTGCTTTTGTTAAAGATGGAAGAATGTTGCATCTGAGACAGGGTGTCAGTGTGTGTTAGACTCTCCTCATCTCTGTCCATGTATTATTCAGTTTGTGTGTGTGTGCGCGCACCAAGGCTGCACTGAATTTGGAGACTCATTACAGTGAGGTCAGAAAATTGTTTGGCCCCTGCAGGTTGACAAAAACAGTGCTCACATCAATTTACCAAAACAGAACTGATATGAAATTAAAAATCAATACTTTTGAGATGGGCTTCCTTGGTTACTAAGATGAAATTTATGTCTCATTACAGTCAGATAAAAAAAAAAAAAAAAAAAAAAAAAAAAACATTTGTTCCAAACAACGCAGAATTATTTTTATTTCCGTATAAATAAAACCATTTTACCTTGCAGCAGTTGACTTGTGTGTTGCAGCACTGACTTGTGATAAGGGAATGTACTGATGTTGCTAAGACACATCTGCCTATTCGGAGTTGCATGCTGCCATTTTTCTGAAGAATATGTGGCATTGCATTTCTCTTACAAATTAGTATGAGAGCAAAGTAGATGGTTATAAGCAATACCAGCTGTTCTATTGCCATGCCTCCCTCAAAACTTCTTTTGAGAGCAGATTTTGGATGAAAGGAAATGAAAATTCAACTCATTGGACTGATGACAGTCAAACACATGAATACTGATGACAGTACAGTTGAATACAAAGTCTTAAAATGCTATTTGAATTTTAAATGTAATATGTCTACATAGCCTACAGTATGTTTACATATGCATAAATTACTGTTCAAATATTTGGAGTCAGTAATATTTTTTTAAATGTTTAAAATAGAGTAAAAATATTTCAAATATTACATTTTAGAATAACTGTTTTCTATTTTAATATTTATTTAAAATATAATTTATTCCTGTGATGGTAAAGCTGAATTTTCAGCAGCCATTACTCTGGTCACCAGTGTCACATGATCCTATCCTATCCCATTCATTACATAACTTTGTATTAATTTCTTTCACAAAAAAACTGAACAAAAAACTGACCCCATACTTTTGAGTGGAGGTGTATAACATCTGTTTTGTCCTTCTAGTCCTGAGTGGAAAAGATAGTAGTTTACCATTGGAGTGACCTTCTAAATGAACTTTTACATTTATATACTATGGTTTACCATCACTTATTTCCTTGATAATTTTTGCTCAAAGCTGTTTAAAATAAGTTGGTTTGTCAAGTGCATGAAACGATATAAATACAGAGACAAATCCTTTTGATGGAACAACAATAAATACGTTTACTGTGAAATGCTTAATCATGCTAGCCTGACTACGTCAGACTTCGTACTTCCACTCAATTTCAGTTCGCTTCTGTACTCAGTCTGAGATAGCGACCTATCTCTGTTTTCCTCCGGCCTGAAAACAGCCGGCCAATCAACGAACAGAGGGCGGGCTGAGAGCCGTGACGTAGACGCTAAAGCGCCGAGTTTAAGACAAGATTAAAGTCCCCATGAATTCAAAATTGACCATACTTACTTTGTTTGCCTAAATTGATGGTTTTGTGGTGAACAATTCATCCATGCAAGTCAATCCACACAAACATTTTTTTTGGCTTCGTATTCTTTAATCAAAATCTGAAATTTCCCCTCCCCTCTGCATTGGAGGACCTTCCCTGATGACGTAGGTTTGACGGTTTGGGTGTCTGCTTAACATCCGTAACCACACCCCTCCAACTGACAGTAGACAGGCTGAATGAAAACACCTACTTTTCTAGATCCAATCAGGTGCTAGTTGGAAAAAAAGCCACGCCCACTATTTTGCCTCATTTAGTTTTCCGTTTCTCTCGGAAATACGTCACAACACTGGAGAAAAGTCGTTTGCAACTTCCGGTTCACGGGGACTTTAAGACAAGATAACCTTCTAATCTGAAAAATTAAGCTTACCCGGAAGTGCGAAAAACTGCAATACATCGAAAATCCGCTAGGGGCTGGTCCCAAAAGGGAGCAAATGTCCATAGACCCCATGTTAAAATGTCCGTTTTCACAGCATAAATTCAATTTCACCTGTTTTTACAGGTTGGTCCCATGGACTTTTATTGTATTTTTCGATAGGTTCCGAGTGCCTGACAACTGTGAGGGGGGTGAATTTTTGTTTCTAACTCGTTAGTTTAGATCGTATTTAGATATAAAATGTATGACAAATAAGGGCGTGGTTAACTTTGATTGACAGCTTGATTGACAGCTGATAACGGGCTGCACCGAGTGGAATTCCTGAAATTTGACGTCTGGCCATGATCTGACACACCACCTCTGTATCCTTTCTGAACATTTGTATTGAAATATCGTACATAAAATGGGTTGCTCTGCTATAAACTGCACTAACCGAAACTGTAGGAGTAAGCTACTTCGCTCCATTTTTTCCGGTAAGTGACATTTCACTACTATTTTACGTAGTTAGCACTATTTAGCATCAATGTTTGTGGGCAGTGGCACTGGAACAGTTAGCATTAAATCGCCTCAGATAAGTTAGCGTCCAAGGTACTTTACCTATGGTTATAACTGGTTATAACTGACGTTTGAAACACTGTAAATGCGTCTGCCTCTTGAATAAATGTAACATAAGAATAGACTGATATGTCCCACATTGGAGTGTTCTTCAGTAGCTTTGCAGTGAATGTAGTAGCCATAGACTGTAAAAAGTAGCCTAGTCTGCCAGTCGATCTTGTAATGTTACAGATAGCTGAGGCTGCTTGGCTGAAGAGGCACATCCACCGGCCGGCTCAGTTTCACACAAAGCCCACCCTTTTACCCATATATGGATTGGCCAGAAGGTGGGATTTCCCAAGATTTTCAAAAGATGGCGCCGCCCATACCCCCCATAAACGGCCTCAAAACCGTTATTCAGAAAGTCTATGGGTGACGTCACAGACGCTTTGTCCATTTTTTTTTACATTCTATGGTTTAAGATTGTATTTTAGGTTAGAGAAATCGAAAACGACCGCGGATATGGAGATACGGGATGCAATTCGCTCTGTTGTGGAGAATATTCCCGGCATTTGCAAACTGAAGCCCGAACAAGAAGAGTGTTTGTTAAACATTTTGAATGGAGGTGATATTTAAGTTGGAGAGAGAGGTGATTGGGTTATGTGATTGGCTTATGGGTAACCAATAATTTTATACTTCAGACAAGTGCCCCCCCCCCCCCCTGCCCCCACCCCCCCACCCTCATTCGAGACTCTATCTACAAAGCAAAGCGAAGTAGCAGAGTTTGGTAATACCAGGCTATAATCATGCTGCATGGAAAGTAATTGTTGAAGAGCCTGTTGCGATCAGGTTCAATACTTCAAAGTCAAATACTAAATGCATCCCATTATAGGGGAGCAATACAATGCAGTACAAAAGCTGTGGTACACAGAACCAATTAAACATTGATATTTTAATATAATCAGTAAGAGCATGTACACTGTACTGTAACTATTTTGTCCTCTTGTGAAATAACCTGCACGATAAGGAGATTTGTTCTCTTTTCAGGAGGGATAATCAAATCAGCAGAGAGTGCAGATGTTCTCCCCAGCTGGCCAGATGTCTATAGAGGTAAAAACCCACGGTGGCCGAGAGAGCTCAACGCTCAACTGAAGAAAACACATGAAAATAGAAAAAACACCAGCAAATTAAGAAAACATCTTCAACAGTTTGACAACACATGTGCTGAAAATACAATGCAACCAAATACAGAAATGAAAGCTTTAGCGTAAGTTCTGCTAGGAAGACTCAATCAGTGCGTCATGTATTACCTCACTTCTAACCAATCATGTGCTAACACTCACAGTATAAAAGATTAGTACTTACAATTGTCTGAGTTCGCAGATACTGATGGAGCCAATTACCTCCATCCTCCCCAACCACCACCAAGATGGTACATTCCCCTTCATCCTCCCCACCACCACCAGGATGGTCCCTTCCTTTACCTCCACGGGGGTCGGCTGCGCCCCTGCCTTCATCTTCAGGCAGGACATGCAGATTCCGCTACCCTCGCATTGCTCGCTAAGGACGGGGCCTACGCCAAAGAAATGTATAAATTCATGCTTGCCGAGCTGTTAATAAATATACGCTTGTTATGTCATTTTATCTCCCGAGTCTTTCTGGTAGAAATGGGCTGCAAACGCTCACAACGCACACAGGATCATGTTAAAATTAAAATAAAACAAACACAAATGGTCTGTGCTATTTGCAGCGTGTTTCTGTATGTGGTTGCACTGTGAGTATTTGCACCACATGTTGTCGAACTGATGAAGTACAAAAATCATAATGCAAAATTAACAGCTAAGCTAATAAGATTTGATATGTTCTCCAAGCCATGTCGCTGATCTCAGTAGTCTGTTTTTGTAAAGTAAATGATGGATATATCATGACTTTGGTATGAACTTAAAGTTTCACGTGTAGGACAAATGTGCACTGCAGTTTGAAAGACGTCTTGATAGAATTATGGATAAAATGATTTCCTTTTTCATATTTTCAACCAATGCTAAATGGACTGGTTTATCAATTTCCCAAGTCTGACTTTTGACTTAAGCAGTTTAGTATGTCATCCTAAAACCCAGGAGAGAATTAGCATTTTTGAGCTATGGGTTTCCTCAGGAAATTCAAATGGTGTTTTAGAATAATGGTTTCCCATTTATGAGTAAAGTTAGGTCTGCGGTTAACGTTAATGGAAGAGACTAACATTTTCTTGTACAACATAAATCATGCTATAATGTGACATTTTACTTCTGTGTACTTTAAAAACTTTTAAGGACTACTTTTATGTGTGGTAACTACCACACAAGGATGTTCTGCACATAATGTAAAGCAAGTAAAAACCTATTAGAAATTCCAGAGGGAATGCATGGTGAATTAGCCTTCTGGACTGGCCTGCAAATTGATGACATGACTGAACAGTTCTATTCTGTCAAAAGAAATCTCCCATTTAGACATGTAAAACATGTCAAACAACCAGCCACACCTTTAGTACATGAACGTCCCCTTTGGACGTGAAATGTTACAAAAACACAATGAAGAAATTGAATGAAATTGAGTGTTTCTCGTTTAGTTGATACAAACGCCCTCTAACAAAACTTCTAAATTTATTTTATAGATTCAATGTCATGGACCATGTAAACTTTGACAAGTGCAGTGACTGGTTCTTTTCCAGAGTGGACAATCTGGCAGTGATGGTAGCAACGGCACATTTTATTGTCAGCAAGTACTGCAGTATTGCTGTGTTGTTGAGAATTTGACAAATAAAACGTTGAACTTAAACTTTTATGGTATTATTTTAGAGTATTCTGCAGTTTCTGATAAAGTTTAGTGTGTCAGGCAGATTGATCCAGTTGTTTTGCTGCAGTACATTGTAAGGGATGAAAATGCAAATTATACTGAAACTTTTCACCATTTAAACTGAACAGAATTTTTTAGGAACAGAAAGAAAGGACAGAAAGCGTTAGGGCTGGGTTTGGAGTTTCTTATCAGTATTTCAATATAATATATTTTACATACATATCATCTCTGATTTGACAGATATAGTTGATGGTTAGGGATTGGGTAAGGACTGTGTTTATTTGACAGTAATGTGTTCCAGGAACACGTCTTTCTTGGCAAAATCATGATGATAGAAAAAATTAGTGGATGATGGTATGATATCACCTTGAGGTGAATATGATTCCTGAGATGAATGGGTGGGCGTAACGGTCTGCCCACTCGTGTGCATCATTAAACAGACTGATTTGTTGATGTGATCGTACTCCATGATGGAAAGACAGCAATGGGAGAGATAGTCTGCCCTTAGAACTCCACTCAGTCATTTTTTTTCACTAAAAGGTTTTACACGTAACAAAATGAATAATACTTTGAAAAATCAGCTTACAATCGTGTACACCCACAGGAGATGAAGACTTCAGTCATATCCTTTTCCTAATAAAAGCTGTTTCATTTTACAAAGAGTTTACTTTTAGATACACATTTTATCCTGTTATTGCACACTTTAGCTCATGGAATAAATGTATCATGACTGACTCTGAATAGTGCATTTTGGCAGTGGCGTCGGTTACTGAAACTTTTTGTGATGCTATATTAGTGCAACATAAAGAAAAGATTGAGAAAGAGTGCTCTTTTAGAATTTATGCAAGTCAGGTGAACCCAAGGGGTTGGTTGGTTAGCACCTGCTGGTAGGTATTGTAACACACCACTGTTCAAAAGTTTGGGGAGAGTAAGATTTTTTTTAAAGACATTTCAGCAAGGATTCATTAGAGGGGACCAATTACACAAAATTCACTTTTACACAGTGTTTACAATGCGTGTCAGCAGTGTGTGTACAACCACCCAACAATGGTAAAAATCCATCCACTACTCTTTTTTGGAATCCCCATAAATCAAAAGCAGTGCAATGTCGCCTGAGCGTGACAGCGATAGAGAAGATAATCAAAACCAAACAGATGTTTTGTTCGTTTTCTGGCAGAGTATCCGAGGGCCAAGCTGTACAGGCTCCGCCCTCTTCTGGAAAGAGGAGTGGGGAGCAGCAGCTCATTTGCATTTAAAGATACATGCACGAAAACAGAATGTTTTTCCTTTCACCCAAAAAAAAAAAGACAAAGTATTTTCAGCTGAAACGTTACAGACGTTACAGACGGCAGTGGCTCAGTGGTTCATGTGGGTTGTCTACAAACCGGAAGGTTGGTGGTTCAATCCTCGGTTCCACCTGACCAAGTGTCGAGGTGTCCATGAGCAAGACACCTAATCCCAGCTGCTCCCGACGAGCTGGATGGCGCCTTGCATGGCTGCCGTCGCCCGTCGGTGTATGAATGAGTGAGTGAATGGGTGAATGTGAGGCAAATTGTAAAGCGCTTTGGTGGCCATTGGGTCTGTGAAAGCGCTATATAAATGCAGTCCATTTACCATTTTACACATTCTGTGGACACCTGAGACATATATTACATCTTGTAAAAAGGGGTGTAATTGGTCCCCTTTAAATGGATCAGTCATTATAAAGTCACTTATATAATGTAATTTTAATAATATTTAAAAAATATTAAGCAACTGTTTTCAACCTCGATTCTGATACTAATAAGAAATGTTGTGGATAAATAAAAAAAGGATCGTGTGACACTGAATACTGGAGTAATGATGCTGAAAACTCAGCTATGCCATCATATAAACTTACATTTTAGTACTGTTTTACTGTATTTTTGACCAAATAAATGCAGCCTTGGTGAGCACAAGAGACTTCTTTCAAAAACATATGAAAAATCTTACTCACCCCAAACCTTTGATCATATTATTGATGAAAGAATAATATGATCAATATGACGACCTTTCGCCCGTCGGTGTATGAATGAGTGAGTGAATGGGTGAATGTGAGGCAAATTGTAAAGCGCTTTGGTGGCCATTGGGTCTGTGAAAGCGCTATATAAATGCAGTCCATTTACCATTTACCATAGATGTTTTTCCAATGACCAATTTTTGAAAAACATTAAATGCACTTATGCACATATTCTCTTTTGCCTGCTCCCTTTTTATTTTTCTAGATTTTTTTTCTTCCTTTTTAAATTATTATTTTTATTGCATAACAGAACAATAACAACATACACATACAGAAGATCGCAAGGTATTAATATATTATCTATTACATTTATAATAGCATCAAAGGAAACAACAATTGAAAAAAATGACACAGGGGACAACTTACAAAAAATTCCAAAAAGAAAAGGATTTAAAAATTCTATACATCCGTTTTGCTTTTTTATTTCTTTGGCGTAATTTTTCTACTGTCCCAGAGTCAGAGATCATGACATCACATTTACAGCTCAGGTGATTGTCTCAGAAAAAGTTTTCAATTTGTGTCAAAGCAACTGCAATTGAGATGGGAAGGAATTCTAATGATTGGCTCTCTCCAAGTATTATAAGTGAACTCAAAAGTATTGATTTGCTGGTTTAATTGTGTTTGATTAGAATTAGAAACCGAGCTCTGCATGCAGAGACAGATCTCCTTTCATTTAAATGTTGGTCCTATAGCAATCCATGCCAAGCCAACTTTGCAGCTATTCAGTATCGCAAATAAAAATGCATGCTCTGCTCTTGAGTGCCCACTCACATCCTGTTGGGCTGCCTATCTTTCCAACATGTGTATCAGGTCCTGCAGTCCTGAGTGTAAACATTAGCATTAGTGCCATGGCTCAGTTATTTTTTATATTCCCAAGAGATGTCAGAGAGGTTTTGTTGCCACTATGTATTCCACATCTGATGCCCCCTTCCATTCCCCTGTTTGATATCAGATGACTGGCAGAGTGTGTTAAGCCCCTCTAATGGTATTTCAGAGCAGATTGTCCAGTGAGTACTGTGATGGATTCTACTCTTGGCTATCTGTGCTCAATTTGGAGGCAATCCAAAAACACTGGGTTTGTTTTTATAGGTGATGATGTTCTATCGGACCTCTGCCTCCACGTGCCACTTGCTGAATTTGATAGCCCTAACATGGAAAATGAGATTTCCATTCTCTTCATCTGCTTATCAGCTGAGGCCGTTCTGCAGTGCTAATGTTCCTGATTAGATGTCCCTCACTA